GGTCATTGGCAAGGGTTTTTGTTGTAGGATATGATTATGAAAGACATCCCATGACCACAAGGAATTATATATAGACCAGTGTCTACCATATTGCAAGCTGGACATATAATTGAATGTAATGAAATCTTAACATGTATTCTGATTATTGCAAGGCAATGTTAGTATCACACCTAGAATCATGCTCATAGTTTTCATACTCCTTTCTGTTTATGTTTGCATGGCACCTGTATATGCACAAACAGTTGGCTTTCATGTAAGTACAGCTTTTATCCACAACCAGTTGTGTATATTTTGATGGCATTTTCTGAGGAACACCTATTACAGTTTGCTATAAATGTTTTTAAAAGATTGCTAGGGACTGTGTGTATACTTGATGTTTATGTCCAGAATTGCTGAAAATTGGACTTGCCTTTTTAGAGCTCTGTTACTGTTTTAAACATTTTGAGACTTGGATAATTAATTGGACAGTGTGTGCAAAGGGCTGTTGGTGAGCACTGAAGTTTTTAAAGAACTGTATACCCCAGTGAATACCTACAATAGCTACTTCAAACTGTAGATTTATACAATCAAAATAAATGTATTTAGAAATGTTTCACAGTTATCACCTGGAAAAAAAAGGGTTAATGAGCACCAGGTTAAGAGCATGCATTCAACCATGAGCTTCTGAAGCCTGACCATCTCCAGTTTTGTTACTATTAAAAGCTTCCATCCATCCTCACCTGTGTCCAGTGCTGGTCAGTGGTGGCAATTAGCACTACCTGGCTAGACTCCCAACTGTGTTCATAGCTTGCTTTAGTATAAAACCTCATCTATAAATGGCAGTTGTCATGACTACTATTTTAATTTTCTGCTATGTCTGTCAAGACATCACTGCAAACCCACTAGTTCAGTACTGTTTTTTTTTTCTTTAAATAGTACCAATATTGAATTGTGGAATTGATGGACACACAACATTTCATCGTCCATTTGACTAAATAAGAAAGAAATCCCTTCTACTTTATATTTATTTCTTGCCAATTTCAGTCAATAAACATGTTTCTTGGTGTCATGGTTCTAAGTGCATTATGTTGTCCAGGATATTTGAGTAAGATTTATTTGTGAGTAAATAGCCAGAAATAATGAGCCAGTTAATTTTTTACTTTTTATCTTTATGCACTAAAATAGATGGATGTAAGATAAACTCATCTAGAAAAGTTGTTTTTTTAGAAATTGTAAATTGAGTTTATAGGGATAAGGTGCTAGATAGAGCTGCAAAATACTCTATGAAATGGATTTTATTTATACATGCATATATTTCTCTGCTGCCCCTTGAATGTCAACTTCCATCTTATTCAATCAAAACAATGTATGCAAACATGTTTTCAAAGATTTTTTGAATTTTGGTGGTTTCCACTGAATCATGAGATCTGTGTTTTCTTGAGTATGTTCTGTAAAGCAGCTCTTGGAATATTGATATTATGTAAAAAAGATATATAATCAAGAAAGCCCAAGGAGGTTCCAACCTCCCTTGAGACTCCATTACTGCATCATCTGTGTAGGCAGTTTCTTTGGCATATAGACAACGCTTCTACTGAGAATTCAACATTTTGGAAGATTTTTTTTATTTGACGGAGGACAGAGCCAAGATAAAGGCTTTAAAGATACTGGGGACTTGTGGGGGTAAAGGGGGCATGGAAAGGTTAATAAAAGCTTTTTTTCTTGGGAATTCCTACTGGGTTATTTTGTGGTTCCGTACTGTGAAAAATGAATGAGAATTCAGTGTGGTATTTGTGGTGTTGAGTCTTTAAAATAGACCAGAAAACCATACGTAGATTTTCTCAACCTTTAACCTTTACTTTTAGTGCCCGTTTCCTTTGTCCTTTTAACTTTTTATATGCAGACGTTTTTGTCAATATTTTGAGGTAATTTGAAAAGCAGCAGGCCATTTCATTTTATTAGAAAGGAGCAGCATAAGTGTTTTTTTATTTGCTGGTTAGTACTAAATATTAAATCATACCTGGGTTTAATTGAAGTCTATTAGGGTTCCTGCTGTAGCAAAATTCGATTAAATTTTTCAAATTTTACTTGTCATTTTGTCGTATTTGAAGGCATTGTTTAGTCAGTTAAACTGTACCCCTCTTTTATGTCAAATTTGCCTGTTGTTGAGGTGAACATTTCTAGACTTATAAAGTATTTAAATTTATTTCACCATCCAGTCTGTCTAGACATCATTCTTTTTTAAAAATCTCTTTGATTTGTCTCTTTATTTGCCATCTTTGATGTCTGGTGGTCTTTTTCCATGCAATTTATATATAGTTAATTCCCCTTACAAAAGTTTGATTATTTCAACACACCAAGGATGGTTAATGGCTTTTTAATAAGATCAGGGAATTTTCAGATATAGAAACTCCTGATGACTCTGATTAATTACGTTCCTACAAGATAGGGTGTAAAATGTTTATGTCAACAGCGTATTTATTTATTTATACCGATTATTTTGAGAAGGGGGGATCCTTTAAGGTGCATATAGGGCATGGAAACCTCTCCTTAAAGAAGGATCAAATAACAATATTCACATGGATGTTCATTAGGAAATATACCGTCCAGACTGAAAAGCACCAAGGAACCATACTATTGTGATAATGTAACAATAACAGTAATAATAATAGTTCGGTTCACATTAAACAAATCTATTGTTGTATGTAGATTTTAGTTGTGGAATTCTGTTGTTACCTTGTGTTGACAAATGCAGTAAATGCTGCTCATGTGCAGGCAGGGGCATTTTGATTTTAGGTTGGTGCACATCCATTGTGCTGAGATGTGCGTGTTTCTCATCTGAGGCATCTTTTGTGCACTTGGCTCTACTGGTACAGTACAGACTATTTCTAGTAATTTTTTTATTAACTTATATTTGCATAGAGTGCTGGTTCCACAACATGAGGGCCATAGGGAAGATAAATTTGATATTTACCATGCTTTTACCCTCAATAAATACACATTGATAAATAATGAATATATTAACCAGATTCAATGCAAACATAGCACTTGACCTTATCATATTTATTTAAGTTCTCTATTGGTTCACTTTAAACAAAGCAGGATAATGTATTATAGTATAAGGATAACAGTAAATTTGGAAATGGTACAATTCATTGCTTTGTCATAAAAGGGGACTGTTTAACTTTGGGAAAACCCAAAATACCTGAATTCAGATTTTTATTATTATTATTTTTTTTTTTTGGGGGGGGGGGGGTGCGTACTATCAGGTGTTTTGACTTTTACCAGGTACAAAATTTTTATTAATTTTCTTAAAGTGAATTGCGTGTATTTGAACTTATCAATTTAATTCAACTGTAATTCCAAAACAAGTTTTTTTTTGTAAATGATATGTATTGTATAGCTCAGCAATTACAGTGAGTTCCAGATTGTGTTGCCTAGCTGTGCAGCTAATGCCCTTTGCTTGGGATTAACTTGCCTTTTTTAGAGCCTTTGCTGTGTTAAAACATCTTGAAAGAGCTTGTATGTTATTAAAAACTGACAAAATCAATGAATTTTACAAGTGTTGAAATGGAAGCCAGCTGATGTCAGTTGCTGTATTATAGTATTGCAAAAAACATTTATTGACCAATCTAAACCAAATTTGAAAACATTTAAAGGATTGCCGTAATTAAAACAGTAAGTGCATGCGACTGGTGTTTACCTGGCATATTTACCTAACCCATGCAATATTGATCAGTAATTTGAGTGATTGGTCAAACTAACACAGAGGTGGCTTGTCAGGGGAATGCAAACATCAGGCTAGAAATTAACAACCTAAATCTTTTATCAATATTATCAGATTTAAAAAACTGATGGGAATGATTGTTAATAGAACTAAGGCATTGAGGAATTTGTTAGAAGCAGGTGTAGATAATGCAGACATTAAAGTATTAAGTCTCACCACAGAGTGTGTGCAAAATGACATTTTGTTGCCTTAATGCTGTATACTAAGTGGCACAATTTTTTTTTTTTGCCACAGACTTTGGTGAAAATTGAATAATATTTCATTTGGACTTTGAGACTCAAGGTTATAAAAAAATTGATACTGCAATACTCAATTACAGCAGTGTCAGCAGAAGACATTTAGATGTTTTTGACATCCTATTTTCGACTCGAACATATAATTCGATAAAAATAAATATGTATGACAAAATCTTGTATCTCATGCTGGCAGGATGTAGGAGTGCGTTAAAGTGTTGTGCGTCTAGGGAGGCTAGAAGCACAGCTCAAATTGAGCTATCCCCAATTGGAAGCGGAGTATGTATTGACTTCAAAAGATGCAAGCAGAAAGAAGTAGCGTAGATGTGTAAGCTGCAGGGGCATGGCTCTAAGGGGTAAACAGGCTTTGTCGCTATAAGGAGGTCCTTTCAACGGGCAAGGTACCAATTTAGAGTTGAATAGAGATTGGTTTTCATTCTATTTGGCTGTACATTAAGAAAACCAACAGGTATTAATTGTCAGCAATATGAAGTTATTTGTTTATGAAGTAACCTGTGTTAAAGAAATTTGAAACAACGTCTGACCTTATTGACTACACAGAAGGTAATGAAAATAGTTCCTTTAACATGTTGAATGTATACATTCACACCTTTAGGCTTTTAATAAACAGTTAAATGTCAGGTGGAAAAAGATAAAGAAAATAGTAGATTTTGCATAATGAATTTAATCCATTGGTTGAAATAAGATAGATTGAGTTTGTTTTCATTCATAGTGCAGAACAATCAATATTATTTTTTGGTTAAATAACATTTAATGGAGTATTTCATAGTTTTCTAACCTGGAGGGGAAGCAAATACTGTAAGTTTTGTATGATATTTGGAAAAATACTCAGTGGATGTCAGCCGGTATGAATTAAACACGTATTTCATGTTTCCTTCACAAATTGGTACTTTTCAGCTGCCTTCGGTAATGAACCAGAAATCTATTCATTAGGAAGCTTTTCATCGTCCAGCATAGCTTTTTAATATCTACATACAGTCCTATTTTTTTTTCCTGAAAATTCTCAGCACCTGGACTTCGTTCTGTAACTGGTAAGAATTTAATGCATATTGAAAAGGCGTAAAATGCAATGGACTAGTTGTCTGGACTGTTTTTTCGGATGGTATCATTAGCACCCACTAAGGATGAAGCTGAATTAATCAACATGATTGGTGAGATTTTAATGCCTGTCATTCACTGCTGTGCTGCATCAACATCTCGTCTTGGGCTTGTAATACCTGAAACAGGAATAGAACACTTTATCCATTTACTTAATTGAGGCAACAACGCAGCAGTGACAGTACTGGATGGAAGTGGGTGGACTGGCCCAACACGGTGATCATACATCTTTCTAAACACTACTGGGATATGGTCAGATGTATAAGTTTTGTTTTCAGTTATTACATACCTTGACAAGATTACCGGTGTACGTAGCGTATCATGCTACTAAACATCTCTCCTCCTACGTGTAGATATCTGTTGTACACAAAGTACTATAACACTTTTTGGTATGTAGGCAGAATGTGACAAATTGTTCAAGTGTACATTCTTTGAATAGAAGTAACAACACTGAGAATATGTATACCCATGGTGCAAACCACACCTCAGAAGAAGCTCTCCCACTGGAGACTCAGTATGCCCACTTCCAGGAGCCGTGGACTTTTAGAGGGATGCTCATCAAGTTTTGCCAACACTGTATCATAGATTGCGTAGTTTCCTGCTTCTGTAAACAAGGTAGGTATTGTGATACTTCAGCATTGCCTTAATTTTTGACATACGTTTTTGGTTGATGCACGTGATTCTACGGTGATCAGCATGTATACGTGTGTGTGTGTTGTGATTTTGGTAGTAAAGGCCTAAAAGTGAAGATATATTTTGCTCCTAGGTGTAAACTGTTAACTAAATGAAATATTCATATGCAATTTAAGTTGATTTCCCCATGCAGTCAGTGTGATTTACAATTACTTTTACAGAATAAGATTCATGACTTTTGATAGAACTTGATTTATCAGACATTGGGTTATCTTTATTGGCAGTTCGAGTTGCCTGTATAAAGTGCAAAGAGCTTTGTTAGCAATTTGTAGTGGGAGGGATCAGGCAATGCGATGCTAGTTTTTCAAGGTGTATTATGCCAACTTTAAGTACTTAGAATTTAAGTGTAGCCATTCTAGTAGTTTTTGTAACATTTCGTACAAATGATAAGATGCCAATTTGATGACCTTTGCACACTCAAAAAGAAATGCAAGACTTAGTATAGAAACAAGACATTTGTAAACAAAGCATAATAAATAAATAAAAAATATATATTTTATGCCTTTTTTAATTTAATAGTTATCAATTTTACGGCATCTTGCAGAACTTGATATGTTTAATGACAATTAAGCTGAACTAAGAGATTATTCCATGGGTTTCAGCAGTCTTTTTAGTCTTTATTCAAGCAAATTGGCTTTCACCTATCTTGGCCTAGTTACCTATCTGCCTGCCTTATAAAAAGTTTTCAAATTTCTAACACGCACCGTTAGTGCTATTGTAAACGGACTAACACAAACGTTGTAATCTAGATGTTGAAGTCTCATTCTGCTGCATCTCTAATCATGCAGAATGTCAATTTGTCTAATCATTATCCTTGAACAAGACCCACTAATGGAAATTGATCTCTCATGCCATGTAATGCTGTTTGATGCTCAAAGACAATCATTTGCAATAGGCCTGCAAGTGTGAGAATGATGCAAAGTGGAAGAACTTTGATTGAAAAAGCGAAATGATGATAACTAAGTAATGATTTTTCTTTATCCAGAACTAGTGAGTTAACACTGCTGAGATGCTCTGGATATGACGGAAAGATTCAGAGAATGTATTTACGAGATTGTTCCAGGATCAGCACTTCCTATAAATTGTTTGAAGTTGACATAGGTCCATAAACAACATTAGGATAACATTTAACCATTGCAGTCCTCAGTGCCCTGACAATTTATAGCTTCATAAGAAAATGTCAAGGTGAATATTTACGCACCACTACTAGGTGAGGCTATTTGTGAAGAAGACAGTAGTGTGTTATCTTTTCATCTGTGTATTTTGGTAGATTTTGAAAAATACAAAAGATTATCTATATTAGATCCAAGGGAAATATTTTTCAGTGAGACATTGCCCTTAAGGCAAATGGCAAATAAAAAAGAAAAAATACCACAAACATCTAAAACCTGAGAAGAGGTAAAATATTTTTCAGTGAGACATTGCCCTTAAGGCAAATGGGAAATAAAAAAGAAAAATACCACAAACAATAGTCGTCCTTATGAACCCCTCCTACCCAAAATAAAGAGAATGTGGGGAGCAGTTGTCCATACCCTTACAGCCGATCAGCGTTTGTGGAATGAGACAATGCATATTTTTTTCAGTGTCATTCTCAAAAATTTACCACTTGATATTTATTGTCTGAAGTGATTCATGCAAGTTATGCCGTAGCATTCATAAGAAAATGGACAAAGTTTCGGGGACAAAAACTGCTGTATAACTAAATCAGCAAGACTCGCTTTGATATTGCTGTATTAGAACCAACCAAAAGGTGTATCTTATATCATTAGCTGAATAATAATAATAATTATTATTATTATTGTTACCACTATACCATGGTTGTGCCTGTTGCATGCCACTATGTACATTTACAGTACATGCCTGTCGCATACCATTATGCCACAGTTTCAAAATAAAACATCACCATGCAACTACTGTATTGGCTACAGCACCAAGCATCCTTGTGTGTGTGTGTGTGTGTGTGTGTGTGTGTATGTGTGTGTGGGGGTTGAGTTTCACAGCAAGACTTCTCACTTGAAAGGTATACTTTTACCTGTGCTATGATCTATTAACAAATGAAATTATCTTCCTGTGGGACCTACCTTGATCCCCATCCCAGACACGTGAAAACGGGCTTCAAAATGTTTGTCAGCAAGATTGACCAGAGACAACCTCAGACTAGAGAACCATTATTTGGGCTTGAGCTCAAATTAGCAAGTGCACTAAGTCAGATAGTCTTATTGCCTCTAGAGGGATCTGTGAGATATGAATATCTTGATTAAACCTGTTTGTTGATAGTTCATGCACACTTATGAGGATTTTATCTCATCAGACTGTCAGCTTTTAAATTGAACATCGTGTTATTAGCGCATACATATAAGTAAGACAGCATTTCTGCTCTTCTTGACCATAGTGTGATCCATGATGAACTTGTATATGATTGATATTTGAAAGATTATTATGACACAGCTTATATAATTTGCCTGGAATCAGACTCTAATGGTATTGGAGGTTAATAAGTGCATGGTGATTAGAACATACTAATGGGTTGCTGGTTTTTTTTTTGAATAGAGAAGTCTCTGAATCATTTAGTGGTTTGGAGGTTGCCATGTGATGATTACTAGAAGTTACGTCTTCTGATTTATATTTTTGCCTGTACTATAGGAATAGATTTATTGTCATTCTTCAAAGCAATATATGACAGTACAAAAAATCAATATTTTCTTTGAAGTTTGATTTTGTTAACTTTTGTGTAGAATTTAAAAAGATCTCAGAATTAATATTAGGGGAGGAATATTTGAACTGAATAAGAGAATTAAGAAAAACAGACATCCTGTTCAAATCTCTGGTTTCTGAAGCTTAATTACAGTGGGTTACCTTGTTGAAGACATTAGGTAATATGGATACAATGCTAATTAATAATTAATAAACATTTTTTTCTGTGGGTCTATGGAAGCAACTAGAGTTAAATCAAAACGCAATTGGATGTCTTTCTACATAAAGTATAAAAAAATCTATTTCATGTGGAAAATCATTGAATGGAATGCAGTGTTTCAGCACAGTCAGTATCAATGTCAGAAGAGCAGGGTTTCACTCTCCAAATTGTAATTACTGATGTTGTGTTGCCCTAGAAAAAAAAAAGAGATATACCTCAATAAACTAATTACTTTGAGCACCTTGGACAGGAAACAGAACATACATTACAGTGGTCTGGTTTAGGGATAATGATTATTGTGGAATTGCTTATAAGATTTATTCTGTTCTGTTCTGTGCTCATCATCATTCATTTGGCTAAATTATATGGATTATTTCAAAGTTATATGGTTATAGATCATATCTCTGTAGCATGGCAATTGTTATATTGTGAGTACCATACTGAATGAATACATACCGGAATGAATACACATCTAAAACCTGAGAAGAGGTAAAAATAAAAAACCCATTATTTTAAGACCAGTGGACTAGTCTGAAGTTCCAATCCTTAATGAATTTAAATTGTTGCAAGTAGTCAGTATTATTTTCAGGAAAATATGTACATTTTTTTTCTAAAAAAAAAAAAAAAAAAAAGTTACAAGAGATATGGAATTTGATGGAAAAAGAGTCTGGTCCTCATTGTTTACCTGCAAGCTATTGAAAAGTGAGCCCCTGGCATAATGTTTCTGTGAGGAGTAAGTGTTAACAGCCATACTCTGCTTTCATGTAGGGATTTCCTGTAATTGTGAAATACAAGCAAAAGAAAGATGAAAGGTTAAGTACAAATGGCGTACTTCTGATGTGCCATTAAAAGAATGATATGTAGTGTTTGGAGGGTACAAGGTGTGAGTAAATATGTTCGGAGGATTGATCTGGAGTTTTTTTTCTTCTTTAAACTGTACTCGTGAGCTCTGTGGGAACTGGGCACAGATGTTTTTGCTGAGTCTCTTTACTTAAGATGTGTTATAATGATGTAATTTTACCCCAAGTTCCTTCTCAAGGTCAGGTCACTGATTTGATTTATTTTTGAGTTTGTGGTTATTTATTAGGACAAAATGGACTTGTAATGGTATAATGACTTGGTGTTGTTTTAATTTAATGTCGTTTTAAACTTATCAGAATCATGTAAACTAGATGGTTCTTTACCTATCCATTTGGCTATACCGAATTCTTTTTGAAATACCAAATTTTATTGAATAGATTGATAACTTGGTTACAATAGGAATATAAATGCTAACAGGAAATGAAATGATTTGATTTTGTTGTGGTAGGACACCTGTGGCCTGCCTAAATTACAGAAACAGAAAATTGAATTTTTGCAAAGTTATAGTCAAAGGACATGGCTTAATCCTATACTCTGTCTCAGTTCTATACATACATATGTATATACATATATATTTCTATCTTAAATTTCAACAAACCATGGCATTTGCATCTATGAATATAATAATGGTACAGGAACAAATAAAATAAGGACATTAATTAATATGTGCTCAATCAATCAGTAAGAAACAAAAAGAAACAAAGAGAAATGGATATAAAATGCATTTCGCTATTTCAACTTTATTTTCTAAACCAAAAACTGCAATAAACAGTGATTTTCATTTTTATGTTCTTTAATAGTGACTGATCAAGAGTTTTCTTGGATAGCATCTTTTGCTATAAAATACATAAGCAGAGTCCAGACTTCACAACTGGAATATACACTCTTCAAAATTTCTGCTATAAATCAATGCTCTATCCAATGTTCTGTCTGAATGTGTGATGGAAATTTGAGATAACACTATAACAGAGAGAATTTTTCCACAATTTAAATTGATTAGGTCTGATGGATACGTTTGTAACTTTTTTTGCATTGATACATCAAGCAGTTGTATGGTACAAGTTTTGGCATGTTTTATGTTTTATGACTTTCAGAAA